CCTTACCCGTCCCCCCCCTCCCCCCCCACACACACCTCCATTTTCGTACTTTTCTCAATGTGCACAAACTTATTACGATTCTTTTGTCTGGTTTCATCTTTGTATCATTTTTATTTCTTTTTCTAATCAATTCCCTTTAAGGCCTGTGGACAGAAGAAAAAAAAGAAAAGGAAAATAAAAAGAAAAAAGAACCACACTGTCACCAACCAACAGCCATATTTTTCTTTCCTGAGCTTTTTTTTCGGGGATAACCCCCCCCCCCTCATAAGGCTGTTGAAAAAAAGTGAGAAATTCACGTAATGCGTCTTATGGCGTGTGGGCGGCGAATAAGCCGGGGTCTCTCCCCATTAGTTCAATCCGCCCTGATCGCTGGGGGGTCAAGGCGCGGGTTTAATTTAGATCCCCGCGGGTGGATATCCTCCCCGGAGGGCCGGAGCAGCTTCGACAAACTCGAAGAGACGATGCCGGAGATTTTCGAAGACCAGCCGGAGGCTGTGGAGGATTACATCAGCCCGGAGAAAACCACCTTTGAGCGCATCGAGGACTTTTGGGATTGGGCGGTGGGGTTTATGCAGCCCGTGGAGAAGCAAATCGACCTGATGCGAGGGTTGCTCCACGAGGGCTTGTGGGGCTTTCACCTTTTTGGAAGTTGGGGGGCGGTTTTGTTGTTTTATGGCGCTTTTCTCCGGTTGTTGACCCTAACCGCGTCGTTGTATAGTCACCGCAATATGCTACGACTAGGCCAAATCGGCCCTCAGCTGTCCGAGCTCAACTCCCAACAGAGCAGATCGCGAGGCGATCGCAGCCTGTCCACCGCGGAGAAGCGCATCGTGAAGGATGGCTATAAACGATTAAAGGCCGCCCTGATGCACCGCCATCGCTGTTCGCAGTCGCGAAGTTTCTTGACGGCCCTCACCGCCCCGTTGACGATGTCCGCCTTTATCGCCGCGCGACGCCTGGCTTTGGACGAGGACGACCTCCACGGCGTGTCTTTCTGTTGGGTTAAGGACCTCACCCAGCCGGACCCGACCTACGCCCTCCCCGGGCTCTGCACGGCGATTTTTTTGGGAAATTTCGAATTCAATCAGCGCCTCCAGCGCGGCGGGCGAAGCCCGTCGAGTCTGTATATTCGATGGGGCATGAGAGCAGGGACGGCGGTCGGGCTTTACTTGCTCATTCACCAGCCGGCGGCGATGTTTGTGTATTGGATCGGGCTTTCCACGGTGGGGATTTTGCAGCCGATCCTGCTTCGCTGGCAGCCGTTTCGCGATTTTTGGGAATTCCCCGACCCCCCGCAGGCTGCCCGGCAAAACATCGTCGCGAGACTAAAAGGGCCCTCGCTCTATGAGCGGTGGTTCGCCACGAAGGAGGAGAAGCTGCGGCGGGAACGAGAGCGCCGCGCGGAATATGCGCGACTTTCGACAAAAAAGTTTGAAACAATTAACGATTACGAGGTGATCTTTGACTCCCCCCCTGCTGAGTCGTCCGTAAAGCCGGCGTTTGGATACACGCCAAAGAAATGAGCAATAGGCTATGAACAGTGAACATGGTGATGTTTTTTTTTGGATCCGGATATCGTTTGGGATATCCAAATTTTTTACTCTATCGCATGTGTACGTCTCAGTGTACGTGGGTTTAGAAGTGCCTTGCGTCTAGAGAAAAAAAAGGAGCACAAAAACCGCTCTAATCCCCAACTGGGAAGTTCACATAACCCTATGCGATATACTCATATGTATATGATCTTTATCCGATCAGACATGTGCCAAACCCATTTTTTATATTTTGACGTTCCTTTCTTTTTCTGCTTTCTTTCTCTCTCTCTCTCTCTGGTAGATGGGTGTATAGGTGAAAGGGGGAAGGGGGAGTAGTTCACACTGTACGGCATCTCAAGCCCTTCCGCATTAGTTTTATTCACATTGGCTGTCTAACTGCAGGTGATTAACACTTAAAAACTACCATATACGGCATTCAACTATATATATAGTGTGTGTGTGTGTGTAGTAAACCCTCTTTTTTCATTCCACAAGAAGTAAACCCTGAAAAGTCAATTTTCGGATTCTCATCCAAACCTGTCTACGATGACGACGAATTCCGCCCCCAAAAGGCCCAGAACCCCCTCCACTCCGGGGGTAACTCCCCCACAAAAAAAGAAAAATAATAAAAATAGCATAAACCCCAACCCCAACTCGCGCGATGGTGAAATCCTAAAAATTGTAAAGCCTCAAAACCCCCTTTTTCACCCCTTTCCCGCGCATTTCAACGATCATTTCGAGACGTCCATCGAGGCCTTGCGGGATCTTCTGCCCGTCGTCCAGGCCCTTCGCCAACTCACGCGGCCCTTCAGCCCGGAGAAGTTCACCCTGTACGATCCTTTTTATTGCGCGGGAACCGTCCAAACGCTTTGGAAAAGTCTCGGAATTTCGCATTTCATCCACGCAAATCGCGATTTCTACGCGGACATCGCGCAAAAGACCATCCCTGGCCCGTACGACCTCCTCGCGACGAACCCGCCGTTTAGCGAAGATCACATTCCGCGATTGTTGGCATTTCTCGCGCGGCCGCGGGGGGAGGAAGGGGGAAATCACCAACGCCCCTGGGCTTTTTTGGCGCCGGACTACATCGCCGCGAAAGCGTGGTATCGGGAATGGGTGCGAACCCATTTTGAAAGCCCCGACGACGGCCCTTCCCCCGCGCGGATGGG